TCTAGGACATATCGTTGCATTCTTTGGCAGGGACGTGCCTTCAGAAGAAGCAGGTCCTAGGGACAGGTCCCCACACCTCTCAGCTCCTGCCCTACACGCTGCTGAGAGCGGGCTCTGCCAATTCCCTTTTCCCTCTACCTTCTGACTGCCTGTGAGGGTCGGCCTGTGGGGTCTCCGGAGGGTGACGGGAGGTCCCAATGTGAGACACCTGGCTGTGCCTTCCTCTCTGTTCCTGCTCCTCTCCGGGCCACCCCAGTAACGGGCCTTCACACAACACAGACAGGGACATGTGATTTCAGCAGGGCCCAGCACCAGCAGACTGGTGAACTCTTTCCTAAGAGACCGGGGTCCCGGGTCAAGGGCGTGAGTGGTCCCCTCACATCCTGGCACTGTGGCGGGAGCTCATCACTTTCCCCATCATCACTGGGAGGGCTGTCGGGATCCGTGGATGCCTCCCCTGACTCTCTTGAGAAACCTCATGGAGCTGGGCAGCCCCTTTCCTTAGAAGACTCAGCCCAAGTTCTGAGGCCTCCTGGTCCAAGGTCATGAGTTCTCAGAACCACCTTCTCTCCCCTTGTCTTTATTTTCAGAAGTGCAAGTGTCCATGCTTCCTGCCACGGCACACTTCTCAGTGTCTCTTTGCTCCCTCTTTGCCTTTTCTGGACTCCAAGTCATTCTGTTGAGCTCTCCTCTCCCTAATTCAAATATAAGGGGACCCTGCCCAATAATCAGGTGGGTTTTCCTCTCTTTGCGTTTAAGGTCCTGTCTTTCGCTTTGGTTCCTAGAACTTTTAATATAAAACTGGACCTTGGACCTGTCCCTATGTGTGTGCTCTCATGTCTGTGTAAGCATGTTTCCGTGTGTGTGTGTGTGTGTGTGAATTATGCTTGTGGTTGGGCACATCGGATAGACCACCTGAAATTTTTCTTTCGCTTGGACAATTATTGACTATTGTTCCTTCACACATTCTGCAACCCCCACCCCCACCCCGCCTCTGCTTGGACTGCTATAATCGACTATGTCTTGTGCGGTGTGGTACGTACATTTTCATAGTGAATATTTCCTTCGATCGTATAAAACACGCTTCGAACACCTTTCAGACATTGCGAATACAGTCTCATTGCATTCTGCGCCACGCTATTTTGCCATTTTGCTACACCTGCTCTGTTCCTGTTCACTGACATCCCGTATTTCGTTTCCTACCCCCTTAGAATCCTTATAAGGGAAGCTTTGGGTGCATATGTACATGTAAATGTGTTCTCCCTGTAACATTTTACAACACGATTGCAAATGTAACGTCTACCTTCGCCACCCGCGTCCACCCCTGTTCCCCTTCTGTTTCGGATGGAACCGGTCGTGACATTTGCAGTCAGCACGCTCGGCTTTTTCCTGGCATTTGCCTGTCTTTCCCATCCCAAGGTAAACTGGAAAGCATCGCTCCCCGCGTGACTGTGCGTTTCACCTAAAGCATGTAACTTGTACTTAAATGGTCCATGGTCAGAGTCTTGTCTGAATTTTCCCCGAGTCAGTACGTGAAGGTCCGCATCAGTCTTTGTGTCGAATATGTAACGTCCCCTTGTTGGTGTAGACTGTGGGTTGGTCGGTCCTTCCCCATGGGCAGCAAGCACCTGGCGTACGTGCGACGTTGTTGTGATGAGCTACATGCAATGACTTGTCCTGGGAACAAGGGCACCTTTTTCCCCTTGTGCAGGACACAGGGAAACCAGTAGGTTCTGAGATACGGGCCTCATTCTCTCTGTTGGGATGCTAGTCCTGACGGAGGTCTCGCCTGCAGTAAAGAGGAGGCTGCCCCTTACCTGTCAACCGTAATGCTGAGAGTGAATTCATTAGTGTTGTAGAGGACACTGGAGGTCTCCCTGTGGCAGTTGGCAGGGAACGGAGGTTTACCAGAGCTTCTTTGAAACAAAGTGGGCCTCCCGGACGGGAGGAACCACCTGAGTTTGCAAAGGGAACGGGAGAGAACTCAGTCTCGTCTTAAAACGAGGCGCTCGTGAGAAGCTTTGGCCTTGTGCGGTTCTTCCCTCAAGTGCTCTTGCTTCTCCCCCTCTGAGTAGATGGCACGAGAAGGTGAGTTCCTGTGAGACTAGGTGCTGGGGCTGCCTGTTTGCTCGGGAAAAGCTGGGAGGTCGAGCTTGGGAATCGGAAGGGGGACGTGAGGTGGGGTCACAGCTGATCATCTGCGGGTGGGAAACAGCTCTCACTGTTTTTATTCCTTTGAGAAAGCTGAGGGCGGTTCATGATTTTTCGGTCTGTAACACTTGCCATTTAAATATCATGTACAGAACAACCCAGATCTGCATGTATGGGTGACCTCTGTGAAATTACGGAACTAGTTAACCACATAGGAAACAAATATGCAAAGATAGCGGTTCTCACTCAGTCATTCTGCAAGCGGAATTCAAGCCCAATGGAATCCTAAAAGCTTTAAAACGAAAAACTATGGGTGACAGTTTATGCTGAATTCATCTGGCAACAGACAGGTGCAAAAATAGGCAAGAATGTATTTTCTTCATAACAGTAGTTTTACAAAGTGTGCCTTTATAAGAAAGGGGACTGCCAACGCTTCCTTTTATGGACATCCACATTTTGGGGACAGTTAAAATCACAAAAGCTACAGTTCAAAAGAAGTTCCACTAAAATCTTTAAGTGAATGATAATGCATCCCTGGACACTGTGTACAGAAAAGTAGAACCTATGAACGGGCATTTCTGGGTGGGAAGAGGGGCATTGAGAAAAGGTGGCATCTCCCACATGCCACACATCTAAATGTTTGCAGTCTACTGTAAGTTTTTAAGTCTCAGAAAGCCCACCTTATCGAGAGATTCCGGAAGACGGTGTACGAAACAGGCATTCCCACGAAACGGTGATCTACGATGCTCGTGAGTGAGGAAATGCACTCCGAGGTCGTATGTGCAGGCCTGTGCCCAGGGATGCACGGGAAATGTGTGGGCGCCCGCTCCCCATCACGCCGAGAGCGGGCCTCTGGAATGTGTTGTCTCCTGCATACATCTCTTTGCGCGTTTTCTGTCCTCTGCAAGCCCATTTGCTGTTATCTTAGAAGCACAAAACAACACACTATCATGACAGGCCCCAGGTTGCATCTGTCACACACACACACCCCCACACACTCACACCCGCACACACACACACACACGCACATGCACACACACGCGCGCGCACTGCTACTGTGAAATAATCCATGTGTCCAAGACAAACGAGAGCTGTCATGAAAGCGGCAGTTCGCACTGTTGGGAAAGAGGGAGGGGTGGCATAAAGTAAGGAGCTTAAGGTGGAAATATTTTCAAATGCAAAAGAAGGAAAACGAGAAGCCTGACATCTACATGGTAAGTGAGCTTTAACTAACATTTCCGTTTCAGAAGGGCATGGATTCCAGACCCGGGGAAGGGAAAAGGATGAATCCCTCTCCACTTCACGGGCTCGATTTCCCACCTCTTTTCAGTTTTCTAGCTTGACATCAGAGATGTGTAGGGCCTGGGTGTCCACATTCATCCCCTGGAGGGACGGTGCCCTTCAGAGGCACAGAGCAGGGTAAGGGGTTTGTCAGGGGAGCAGTTGGAGTTTGCGGATCAACAGATCCTGCCCACACAAACACACCGACCGAGATCCAGCTGCAGTTCGGTGACACTTGCCCATTTGACCAAACATTGCACCTGCAACCATTTATACATGTTGCGCTGTGATTTATTTGGCTCCTTGCTGTGCAGCCACTACTGTACACCGATGTGGTGCTGGCTGGGGGGACTGTGTCAACCCCCATAGAGAAATTGAGAGGTCCACATCCCAGCCCATGGCCAGTGCCTGCAGCAGTGCTTGTGAAGGGGGTGACCGGTAGCCACCGCGATGATCTTCGCGAAGGTGTGGGGTCTAAGCTCACGCTCTTGAACACGCCATTGTGCTGGCACCTGGTGTGTGTGGCTCAAAGGTCCCCTCTGGCTTCCTTGGGTGCACGGGGTGGCACTAGCCCCCGAGAAGAGAAGCACGAAAGCATTCGTCTACGATGAGCACCGAGGAGCACAGGGGCCCAGCGAAGCCGACAACACAAATGACAGCCGGACATGACCGCCAGCTCCCCACACAGGTGCTCTTCAGTATGCAGTAGTAACACGTAGGGCAAGAGTGGGGTTCAGAGGCTTCCCAGCTCCTCCTCTGGTGCTTCTGTGCTCTTTTCTCAAATATTTTGCATCTGTCCTGCCCCCCCAAACACCCCTCCAGTCTGACACACTCTATTTCTTTGTTTTATCTCTTATCAATACTCATTGACCACCAATCTTGTACTTCCACGAAAGGGATTCTGTTTTAGTGGCTGATAGATGGTCACGGGGACGGGGAGCACGGCATATGGGATGCAGTCGGCAGTAATGTAATGGCAGGTGGAGGGCCAGGGAAGAGGAAGAGCAGTGAGGGAGATCGTTTCATAAACCACAAAAATGTCTAACCGATGTACTGTATACCTGAAATTAATATAATAAAATTTAAAATGTTTTAAGTGATTCTTTTCATCCATTTTTTTTTCTATTTCAGGTATGCAGTACAACGGTTAGCCATGTATACAAGTTACAAAGTAATCGCCCCGATCTGTACCCATCCGGCCATGTACACAGCCATTACGATACCGTCTACACTCCCTATGCTGTACTCTACATCCCCGTGACCGTTGTGTAACGACCAACGTGTACTTCTCGCTCCCTTCACCTTTCAGGAAAGGAAATCTTTCTGATACTCTTCTCTTCCTTTTCTGTATTCCAGTGTTCCACAGCATAGTCTGCGAACACAGGAGTTCCAGCGCCCGGGGGAGATTCAGGTGCAGAAGGACAGGCCACCGAAGCCGCAAAGCCTTCGTAGGCGTAGGCAAAAGTCTGCCGAAGGCCTGCTTAGAGAAGACTTGCTGCCGCCGTGGGCACGACAGCCAGACCCCTGAAGCTCCGTTAAGGACCTCTCGACTCTCAAGTGAAATCACGATGGAATCCGAGTATGTCCTATGCAGCTGGAAGGGCCGCTGCTGGCCAGCAAAGGTTTTGCCCAGATCCGGGACCTCACCCAAAGATAAGAGGAAAAAGCCACGTTCTCTACAAGTTCAAATCCTCTCGGTAGGTAAAAAAGTTAGAGTGAAAAGCAGCACCATAAAGATCCTAAATGAAGCTCAGATCGAATCCATTGCCTCCTCGCTAGGGGCCCCACCCAAGGCAAGGGTCCCACCGGGAGAGGAAGAGGCCTACAGAAGCGCTCTTACAGTGGCACTGCAGATTCTGAAGGAGAGGGCAGACCCGGGTCAGGCAAGAGCATCGGGGGACCCAGAGGCCCCCCCGCTGCCTCAAAAGAGACCGCAAAAGCGATCTCGTAGAAAGTCTCGAAAGCCCAAAGGGAAGTCACGGCGAAGCCTCAGGAAAAATGAAAAGCCCAAGTCGCCGTTGGTGCGTTCGGGGAGTGAGGACGCCCCGGATGGTGACGAAGCACAGGCGCAGACATCGGCCGCTCCGGTTCCAAGGGAAACGCAAGCCAAGTCCTCACAGAGCTTCGGCCTGGGCCCAGACATCCCGTCGCTTTCAGAAGATGACCGTGAGGAAGAGGGCAAGGCACAGAGGGACACCTCAAGAGCCGCGCTCCAGCGTCGCACGGTCAACGGGGAGGGTGCAGGTGCTAAGGATGGAGACGTCCCGCCATCTCAGCCACCCGGTTCCATCGTCACTGTGCCCAAGGGTCCGAAAGGAGAGGTGCGTGGCAGCTGCCCGAGGACCCCGGCTGTCTCCTCCGAGTGCTCCACCATCTCCGGGAACACTGAGGACCCTGGAGAGGGGGCCGCCGGGAGGCCGGGCTCGGAAGATGTGGCGTCACCCTCCAGCGCCCCTAGCCTCGGGCTGCGTTTTTCGGCCCGTCTGGCGAGCAAGAAAAGGAAGCGAGAAGAACAGCTTGCAGCCGACCTCAAGGATAGTCCCCGCAAGGCGTCCGACAAGAAGCGTGGCGCCAAGGGGGCGAGACGACCGAGAGGCCTGCCTTCCCCACAGGACCCGGGCGCCATCGAAAGAGGAACGATCGTCTGGTTTAAATTTCAGCATCACCCGTTCTGGCCAGCAGTGGTCAAGAATGTCAGCCGCACAGAGCAGGTGGCGTGGGTGCTTCTGATCGAGGCATACATGAACCGTGGAAGGAAAGGCATTCGAGTGCCCCTTCGGAGATTAAAGCATCTGGACTGCAAAGAGAAAGAAAAGCTCATCAAGCGGGTCGGGAGAGCGTACGAGCAGAGCGTCAAGTGGTGCCTCTCCGTGATTTCCCACTACAGAGAAGGGCTCAGTCGTGGCTCTTTCAAGGGCTCCTTCCTGGACTACTACGCTGCCGACATCAGCTACCCGGTGAGGAAAGCCGTCCAAGAGGGCGACGTGGACATCGATTTCCCGAAGGTGAATTACGCCGACCTGGAAGATTCTGAGGAGGAGGCCGCCCTGTTGGGGAAGAAGCCCTACAAGAAAATCCTCCCTGACCGGATGAAGGCCGCTCGGGACCGAGCCAACCGGAAGCTGGTGGACTTCATCGTGAAAACGAAGGGGGCCGACCACCATCTTCTGGACATCGTCAAAGGCAGGAAACAGTCCAGGTGGCTGGCGTCATACCTGAAGTCGGAAAAGTACGTGATCTGCGTTGAAACGTACCTGGAGGACGACGATCAGTTGGAAGTCGTGATGAAACATTTACAGGAAATCTACAAAGAGGTGGACAGGAAGAAGCTGGCCCTGACGAGGGACGACAAGGTGAGCTTCGTCCTGGAAGTCCTTCTGCCAGAAGCCATCATTTGGTCCATCGCTGCGCTCGATGGGTTAGATTACAAGCAGGCAGAAGAAAAGTACCTGCGAGGGCCACCTGTGCATAGACGGGAGAAGGAGCTATTTGACAGAAACATCTTAAAGAAAGTAAGAAGGAGACCCACAGTCAGGAGCAAGGCTAAGTAACTGTCAGCCCCGCAGCCACCCGGGTTGGAGACTTGTCACCGCGTCATCGATAAGATTCCCTGCCTACACGAAACGTAGCATCCCTCCAACCCCGGTGGCACGGAAAGACACCCCGCAAGTCCGAGACCTCAGGACCGTGCCGAATTCCTCTTGGATCCACCTCCGGCATTTGTAGGTGGCACCGTCATCGGCCTTTCCTGTTCCCAAACTCTTCGCCAACGGATTCGTGGAAATATTGCAAACAGTCGCACTTCCCTCTACTCGCCCTGGTGTGTAACTGGCCAGAGAGCTTCGTAACGTTGCTTTAGACCGTGTGTGCTTCGCATTTCGATACACGACCGGCAGACCTGGGGGACAGAGCGGCTCAGCGTTCGTTACACGAACGAGCCCTGGTGTCAGGTGTTAAGCAGCAATTGGTTTCGAAGCCTGAGATGTATCTCACGGAAGCAGAACGAGCCCTGGTGTCAGGTGTTAAGCAGCAATCGGTTTCGAAGCCTGAGACGTATCTCACGGAAGCATCGCACGAGTGCTCATCCTGTGATGCGTCCGTATAAACGACTGAATTTCTTCCTAAGATGATTCCTGAGTTTTCCCCGCTATTCTTATTCATTTAAGGAAACCAACAAACAAAAACCAGCTCTGAGATGACAGAGATGTTTTCTGTCTATCATCACCGATGACAGAG